TTGATTCTGTCTTCTTTTTTGATGTTTGTTTAGGCTATAATTTGACTTCTGAGTATTGCTTTTGCTGTGTCCCAGAGGTTTTGGTATGTTGTGGTGTGTTAATTTTGTTTGTTTTTGTTTTAAATGTCTGTAACAAAATTTATCCCTGAAGCTCAAGAGAAAGAAACAGGGTCCATGAGTTACAGTATCTCTTTGGCAGCCTTTTGGGCCAGCACCAGCCATGAATGGGGTGGGTACCGAATTTGACACAGCTGCAGATATGTTGTGTTTTCATTCTCATTTTTCAAGAAACTTTTTTTCATTTTTATGTTTTCTATTAGCGTTGAGTACTCTCCTTTCTAGGGTCACCATGAATCACCTGCAACTCGATGGGTCTTTTTTTTTTTTTTTAAATTTTTTTATTTTTTTTTGATGGGTCTTAACAACAATAACATCAAGATAAAGAGAGATACCTTGGCCCAGTGGAGAGAAAGCGATGCTACCAAGCCAAAGGTGGGTGCCTTTTAATGCGCAGCCCTCAGTCCAGTCTTTCATTGTTTTTGTTCAAACATTCCACTAGGTTGTATAGCCCTGGTATGTCCATTTGCCATACAGTGGTAACTTGAGGTTACTGTGAGGCTGAACACTGTGACACTGATGTGTCAAATATGTTAATGGCTGGCTACCCAATGCGGACAGTGTGGGATGGAGCTCCCCGATTAAAACAAGCTTGGAAGGAGGAGTGGCATCCACTTCCATAATGGCTTGCCTCCAAAACCCTATGAATCTGGAGAGAGGATGAAAGACACACAAGCATTGAGGACTCTCCTGCATAGGGTTGCTATGAGTCGCCTGCAACTCCACGGCACTTAACCACAACAACAACAACGTCTTTTATTACCCTGTATATGTTATTTAGTTTCAAAGAAAATGTTTTACATCTCCTTTTTAATCCTCTTGTTATTAACTTCTAATTTTATAGCATTGTGGTCTAAGAATATGCTTTATGGTATTTCAATGATTTTTAATTTATCAAGACTTGCTTTGTGACCTAGTACATGGTCTATTCTGGAGAATGTTCCATGTGTACTGGAGAAAAACTTATATTGAGCTTATGTTGGGTGGAATGTTCTATATATGTCTATGATGTAGAGTTGGTTAATGGTAAGGTTTAGTTTTACTGGTGCTTTGCTGTGTTTCTTTCTAGTTGTTATGTCTTTAACCAAGACCACTGTATTGAAGTCTCCTATTACTATTGTAGTATTGTCTCTTTATTCAAGTCTCTTAAAGTTTTATGGTTTTGCTGCTCTATTATTCTGTTTGCAGAAGTTAGTTAAGGTTATGTCCTCTTGTTCCACTGACCTTTTAATCATTATATAATGTCCTTCCTTGTCTCTTTATGTTCAAGGTTTTTACCTTGAAGTCTATATTGCCACTCTTGCTTTTTTTTTTAAATTGTCATTTGCTTGGAATTTTTTCCCCCACTTTTTTTAATTTTTATTCTATATTTATCCTTGTGTCTCTTTTAGACAGTGTATTGATGAGTTTTGTTTTCTTATCCATTTTGTTATTTTTTTTTATCTTAAGTGGTACATTCGATCCACTCATATTCTGTATGATTACTGATAGGTAAAGTTATATTGCTGCCATTCTGCTGCATTATTTTTTATGGTGTTGCTGGTGACTTTATTTCATCCATATTTCTGTATACTATCTCTGTGTGAAGAACATACTGTTAGCTGAGTCCATAGGCTCCAACACACTGCACCTGCACAGGCCTTCCCAGCATCATATTAAAAATGGTGCTAATGGTACTGGTACAGTGACAGACACATAGATCAATGGAATCGAATGGAGAATCCAGAGATCAACCCATCTATCTATGGTCAACTGATCTTTGACAAGGAGATGAAATCAGTGAAGTGGGGGAACGACAGCC